GCTCTATAAAATCACGAGTTGCAGAAACTAACAGAAACATGATTTTTTTTTTTCTGTCCTAGGTGCTGTTTGTGGAGGACAGGAAGACAACAAATGTCAACAAAAGGGACTTTTTCCTGCATGTGTTTGATGAGCTGATGGCTCCAGAATCTAAAAGGTTCATATATAATGAGAGCCAGACTGTGGCCTGGTTCCCTCCCAAGGTAAGACCAATTATGGAAAAAACCTACATTAATAATCTATGTGCTGCTTAAAAAAATAAAGCAGCAGATTAAAAAAATAAATAAAAAAATAAATATAGAGAGATATAGATATATGATCAATTTCAGATTTAAAATGGATTTTTCTGTATCACAATTTCTTTTTATTCACCGACCAAACAGCCAAAAGTAGAGGAGAAGACTTACTTCCTGTTTGGCGTTCTGTGTGGCCTGGCTCTCTACAACCACAACATTATCCACCTGCGCTTCCCACAAGCTCTGTTCAAGAAGCTGCTCAGGGTCAAACCTACGCTGGACGACATGAAGGAGTTTGACCCTGTGCTGGCAGAGTAAGACAGACTTAAAAACACACAAGTGAAACGCGTTCTTTCTCACATGACATGACAAAAGAAGTTTATTGATACATAGATATTTCCCGTGCGTTTAACCTCAAATACACTGAAAATAGTGCTAACAACAGTATCAAAACATTCATCAGTGCTTTTGTGCCTTTAGGTCTTGGAGGATCATCTTAGAGGACTACACCCCTGATGTTGTTCAAACGCTGGACACTACTTTCACTGTAAGTTTACTAAATCATGTGTTTCGTGTCTGTTTTTCTTTCACACTTTCTTCACCTGACAGAGTGATTATCTGTGGTAGGTGTCCTGGGCTGGTGAGACAGTTGAGCTTGATCCAAATGAACCAGGAAAACTTGTCACCGGGTCAAACAGGTGTGTATAAACAGTCTACACAGCACTCCTTCTCTGCCATCTAACAGCTACATCCACGCTGTGCTCCCTTCTTTATAGTTGCAACATGCCATTACACTGGCTGGGATGTTGCCAACACTATAAATCAGTACTTGTATACTTTTAAATGTTTTTTTTTTCATCAATAGGAAAGAATACGTAGCTGCCTTTGTGAACTACGTCTTCAACAAATCAGTGGAGAGATTGTTTGACGAGTTCAAGAGAGGGTTTTTCAAAGTGTGCAACATGGACGTGGTGGACTTCTTCCAGCCAGAGGAGCTGCAAGCAGTGATGGTGGGCCAAGAAAACTACGACTGGGAGGTGTTCAAGAAGGTAAAGAGATATAAACTTGAAGAGAGCCAATATTGATGCTAAGATTTTTATTCATAATCTGATTTGTTTTTTTTAATTCACCATATTCTGAATGAGTAATTTTCCTTGCCAATGCAGGATAGTTTAGCACGCTATGCTATGAATTCCCTAAAACACCTGAACCATATGTGTCACCATAGTTCAGTTTGACCAAAAGAATACAAAAAGAATAGCTGACTGTGTGCACACTTGCAACGTAACATAAATCAGGAGCTTGCACTCTGCTTATGAAATTAGCAGAGTGACACCACTGACACCTAGTCTGGTGCCAGTGGGATTAAAAAAATGTAAATGATACACATATTTCATATATGTCCTTATTTTTATGTTCCCAAACAGAACACATTTTATGAAGGCGAATACCATGATGAGCATCCAAATATAGTGGTGTTCTGGGAGGTGTTTGAGAGCCTGACAGCAGAGGAAAAGAAAAAGTTCCTTTGTAAGTATTTCATCATTAGGCTTGCTGTCATTTCCATTTACGTCTATCAGTTTTAGCTTACTTGACATGTGTTTCTTGATGTCCTGCCAAAAATTTGTGTAACATTTCAGATTCCATTTTTCACTTATCCTCTGTTATTTTCTTTCATCCTCAGTGTTTCTCACAGGCAGTGATCGCGTACCCTTCCTGGGAATGGAGAGCATCAAGATGAGAGTGGCTGTGCTGCCCGATGCTTCTGAACGCCATTTGCCTGAATCGCTTACCTGCCATTTCCTGTTGTTACTGCCCATCTACAGGAGATACCCAGTCGAGAGGAAGATGCGCACAAGGCTTCTCCAGGCTATCAATCACAACAGAGGCTTCCGGAAGAAGCAACGCACCACAGAGTGAAGCAGCAGGGGTTTCGTTGTAAAGAGCCCATCTTAGCATCGGTTATTTTTCGGCTCTTCTTGCTTTACAATCTGTGCTATTAATTTTGAGTGATATTTTTTATTGTTATTACAATTTTTTTTTTTTTTTTGTGCTTTTAAAATGAACACAAGCTTAAATCTTCAATAAATACAGTGCTTAGCAAATTTCTTACACCGCCCAGTTTATGGATTAAACCACAGTATTGGTAATTAATAAAATAACCTTTTAATGGCTCTGTAGTGGTTAATCCACCACTGTGCACAAGCTCTCAAAATTCTGATTTGTAATGCTACAAAATAACCATTGTTATCTGTGAATTTTCAGATTCAGTTTTGCAAATAAGCGTGTCAGATTTGTTATTTTATTTATTTTATTTAGTTTCAGGGGTTGAATTGTATCCTCGGAGAAGTCCTGTGTGCCCGCTCAAATGTGGGTAAAAAACATGAACCCACTTTGTTGTCTGCCTAAGAAATAACAGTATAACGTTTAGTTGTAAACAAGTTTTTGACAGATTTCTATAATATTTGTGTAAGAAATTTGTTAAACACTTCATGTCATACCTACTTAGAACATACTTAGATTAGGAAATCACCTTTTCTTGCATTTGTACCTAGTAAATCATCTTAAATTCTCTGCTATGCTGCCTAGTATTTTATTATTTTTGTATTATTACCACTTCTCTGGAGATGAGTTACACTCTGACACAACTCAGGACACTACCTCTGCTCAATAATGAGACACAATAACAGTACCTTCATTACAGTCAATATATATGGTTACAATAATAAAACTGAAAATGATAAATTACTTGACTCCTTAGAAGAAAGAATTATCTTCTGGCTCTCCAAATACACAAACTCAATCCTCTTCATTGGTGGAGACTTTAACATCGCTTTAGGTAATATGGTTGATAGATGGCCTCCAGGGCAGCAGTCTTCATACAGTACAAACTTTACAAATTTCATGGGAAAATGTAATGTTGTGGATATTTGGAGAGAAAAATTTCCAGATGATAGACTCTTTACTTGGCGCAACAGGATCCAGGATCCTGTTGCAGGAGCAATTCACATTAACATCCAAATGCTTACACTGGATAATATACCTTACAAATTCTCCTATTTGAAGTTAAATAATTCCTTACTAAAGGATTCTTGAGAAGATATGGGAGTCAAATGACTAAATTGAGGAAGAAGTGATCAGCAAACCTCGGAGGAAGATTTTACTAGACCTTCAAAATAGATTGGACGGTTTATACCGACGCAAGGCTGCGGGTGCTTTTGTAAGATCCAGGAAGAGGTGGCTGGAGGAGGGAGAACAAAATTCTGCTTCCTTTTTCAGGCTTGAAAAATACAGATCAAAAACAAACTCTATTCATCAACTAAATATTAATGGCATTGTCTCCTAGGCAAATTTTTGTGCCAAATTCTATGCTAAACTGTACAACTCAAAATATAATGAGGACGTTTCAACACTATTTCTCAATAATATTAAAAACCTAAAAACTATTGATGTGGAGGATAGGAGTCATTGTGACAGCCCTCTGATGGTGGAGGAAGTTTCTAATTCCATTTCTGCACTTAAGGCCAATAAATCTCCCGGCACAGAGGGTTTAACTGCAGAGTTTTACAAATCATTTTCTAATCTCCTGGCTCCGTTCTTACTACAGGTTTTCAAAGAAAGTATAGAGAATAACACCCTCCCTCCTACTCTTACTCAAGGTCTCATAACACTTATTCCAAAAGACTCACTTTTTATTGAGACCCATCTGTCTGCTCAATAATGACTATATGGCTTTAGTACTTGTTAACAGAATTTAAAGAGTTCTTGAGACACAGTCAGGCTTTATGAGAAATAAGCATATTTCTAATAACATTAGACTAGTTTTGGATTTACTTGATTACTCTGATTTGGTACCAAATCAGATTTCCATGTATGTCAACTGCAAGTGTCCAGAGTGAGGACAGACTGAGGGACCCACTGCTGCACATCATCTGTGAGGCTTTGCAGCCCTGATGATCCACCAGGACAAACTCAGCAGTATGTGAGGAAGAGGAAGAGCCAGCAGCAGCTGACAGATGGAGAGAATAGACAGACTTTAATGTTCAGAAACCTAAAGTATGTATCAGCAGCAGAATGGAGCTAAAAATAAATGTCCATTTTTTTTTCAGTTATATGAAGCTTGGAGTATTTTGGATTAGTAGCACTGCTGTGTTTGTTGCATCATATTGCTGTAATTGTTTGTATGCTTTATATATTCTGAGGTAAGTTGATCTATAGTGTTACATCATATTCTATAAGGATGTTATGTGTTTGGATACTTTCTGCCCAGTTTGACCCATTTAGCAGAAGTCAGCCTGTTTAAGGCTCTGATATCTATTCTGTAGGTATGACTTTCTCACCCAATAAAGGAATATGCAATATATCAGTCAACTCTTCATTTTATCACAAACAGTTATCACATTTTAATTATTAAATAATGGTACAGAAATAAGGCCTCATTCTGTATAAGAAAAATTACCAGTACCGGGACTGTACGAGGGAAATTTCTTTTGCAGTTCATCTGATACGATAAAATTACTTATATTTTCCAGTGTTATTGTTTGTTTTTTGCTAGGGAGAAGAGTATTTATTTTTGTTATGAGAATCAAACTGGTTAACATTCATAGGTGTTCTCAATAAGCTGAATACATCTAATTTCTGAAAAATGCAGACAGCTATCATTTGAATGTGATTCTGAAGTGTAATACATGTTTTGCTAGGGAAAAGTGTGCATTCAGTGACTGGTTGGTGAGTGGTTTCGGGAGGCTAGTGGCACTCTCAAGGTGAAATTAACCGCAAAGACCGAAAACCTTTGGGTGCTTGACTCCAAGCAGATTGCCATTGTTGCCCACAGTTTGTATGACACCTAATGGCTGCAAACAGTAACAAAGTACTTGTGGAGTATTAGCGAAAATGTGAAAAGTAGAAAGCAAACCGGAAACACTTTCTTAGGTTTACTTTGAAAGCAAACATTATCCGCTTGTTTGTGTTGCACACTTTCAAGTTTTATTGCCTCTCCACTAGTAGGTGGCAAGTGTTCGCAGGTAAGTCACCATCTTTCATGCAAACTACAGGTAACCATGGAAATCTGCTAGCAACAGCATAGATGTCAAGTTAGACACTGAAATAAAAAGGACTTTAGGTGAATGCACTACACAACAACCCCTAATCTTTAAACTTAACCACATTTGTCGCCTCTGACGTTCAATCTTTCACTCTTCTCCTGTAGAGACGTCCTGCAGGGGGGCAGAGGGAGGGAACAGCGCAGACGTCACCGACTAGGCATTCGTTAAGAGTTTCACGACCGCTATCAATAGCAGTGTGTCTTTTTGGGGGGGGGGAGCAGGGTGAATTATACAATATATATATTTTCAGAATCAATACAGAGTGTGTGAACAATGGGGGTTAGGCATTATATGACATTTCTAGACGAGCTGGGTAACCCTGGTTTCCAGATAGATGTTTTTACTCATGTTGCTGGACAATTACAGCCATTAAAAAAAAAAAAACATTAGAAGGGGAAAAGCTTTCATCGTCCAAACGTTCAAGCAGAGCCAATTGATCATTTTCAAACCCAGATTTGAGTTCTTTTTATTAAGTGGACGGTCTGTCTGAGGTTACCGCTTTTTCTTGGCTCAGAGATATCGCTCATGAAACATCTGCAATAATACTCTTGCTGTACACAAACATACATACATACATACATAAATACTCCTAAAAAAAACAAAACAAAAAAAAACATAATTAAGCAGTAATTACACAGTAGAAAAAAAGAAACTTAAAGCCAATTGCTCTTGCTACAAAATTGCGAAGACTTAAAAAAGGCAATGCTAATGAAATGGCTGTGCTGTGAAACGGCGGTAACGCCTCGCATCTTCTCTAAGTCGTCTTGTAGCGTGTTGTTCAGCTCCACACGTACGTGGAGTCTTCATGTCGCTGTGTGTTTCATCCAAGTCCAGCTTCTCTGATATGTATGTTGTGTTTATTTTCTTTTTTCAAATTTTAGTCAGGTGAGATGACGAGTTCTGTGTGCAAGTGCTGGAGTTTTTATCTGACGAGGTGGAAAGTGAGCCAGTACATGAAAATGGGCTGTGCTGCTGCTATAGCCATGGTGAGGTACATCCTCAGTTGGTTTCTGGCTCCTCTCACTAGCTTCCCTTCTGCTGCTGCTTCTGACAACAGCTTCAGACGCAGAGTGCGTATCTGAGGAGAGACAAGCAAAAGATATTTGAAAACGTTTTATTTGCAGCTCTAGATTTTTTAACCTGAGCATCCACCAAAGCAGCTTTGCAAAAAGACAAATTTATCTTATACTGTCTTAAACTGGTGGGTTATACAACCCCCTCAGTTCAACTGTCGGACACAAAAACTCTTTCAACGCCTCTTTCTTTAACACTCATCTCCCTAAACTGTCTTTTTCTTCTGACTGGCTGCTCCTTGCCTCACCAATGCAAACAGCACGCATTGTGCTAAACAGAAGTCAGGGTGGAACAAGAGTACAGGAAAAACAAATGATACAAAAAAACTTGAAGGCTAAACGTCTGACTCAAAAGGATTATTGCAGTCTCTGAAACTTCGGCCACGTTTAACAACAGCACCCCCAAGTGGAAAAAACTTAAGTCTGCAAATTACCTGACCTGTCTAACTTTTTATCTTTAAATATGACTACCCCAAGTTTCAGGAAGTTATGATAAAAAAAAAAATCACAAGGAATTTATTATTATTATTATTGTTGCGATTATGTACTAAAAAATACAGAAGGATGCATTTGCACAGTTTGACGTGAGATCTATGAACCTTTAAGGCTTTCTGACATGTGTTCAAGCCTATAACCATCTTCAATAATTTTTCAAAAATAAAATCTGTACATCCATCCATCCGCTTATCCTTTTCAGGGTCGCAGGGGGCGCTAGAGCCTATCCCAGCAGTCATAGGGCGAGAGGCGGGGTACACCCTGGACAGGTCGCCAGTCTGTCGCAGGGCCAACAAACTCCACACAGAAAGACCCCGGTCTGATGGTGGAATTGAACTCAGGACCTTCTTGCTGTGCAGCAACAGTGCTAACCACCGTGCCACCCTAAAATCTGTACACTAAAACAAAATTACTAAACGTAAGTAAATAATTTTACTCACCATGAAGACAAAGATGGCAGCACAGCACCACAGCAGAGACAGATAATATGCCGGCTTCCCAAACAAAAGGCCCGCCACTAAGCCTACAATCATCCTACAGAAACAAAAGGAGAGATATACACATTTAAGGCATGACACTGACAGATTCAGAGTAATAAAAGGCAAACAATGACACCAATTGGTACATACCCAACATATTTATAGCCAGCAAAGGCCAGCAGGTCTATAGTGGTGAGGTCTGTGTTTACAGTGACAAGGTAGAGCGACAGGAGGACCACCAGGACTTCCATGATTAACCACACCAAAGCTGAGCTTGCCTGAACTCCCAGCAGCTCTGGTGAAAACCTGAGGAAGTCCATAGAAATATAACAGAGAATACTCTAAATCCTTTATTATGAACCTGTGGTGATGTTCTCCATTTTTGGCTTTAAGGTTTGAAAAGGACAGCCTTTAAGAAAATGAAATGGCTTAAACCAGAAACACATAAAACTACAAGTCTCCAAAAAGTGTTTAAGATGGTCATAACCGGAGCTTAGGGTCATACTCAAATGTGCATCACTCTGATAAAAACATGGATGCAGATGTACCTGCTCTGTGTGCCGAGGGCCAGTCCGGCCACCAGGATGTATGTGATGAAGCCCATGGTAGGAATATAAAGATCGGGAGCGTTCACATCAAAGCGCGGAGCCACAGGAGTGTCCTGCTGGTAGCTCACCTCCCAGTTCTGCAACATACATGATCACACACTTACTTTCAAACATGTAAGACCCAAAATAAACATGTTTTTAAATATTTGGGTCTATGTGAAGATAGCAGGTTTCTTCTTTTATCTTAAATATTTATGGAAAACCACAAGCAATCTCTACACATATCCACCAGAATGATTGACATTTAGCAGGTGTAAAGAGACTCACTTCGTGCATATATGGGAAAACTAGAAGGCCCAGCTTCTTCCCGACGTACACTGTGTCCACAGCAAAGTAGTACTTTAGCTTGGAAATTGGGATGAATCTATCCAGCTGAAACAAGCAAGCATGCGGACATGAATACGAGGCTGACTAACAAGGGCAATCACTGCATTTATTCTACCATTATTATGAGATTAAACATGAGCAGGATTTTACTGGACTCATTCCTGTTAAAAATTGGTGAGCTGCTCTTACATTCTTGTCAACCATTTCTCTCCCCTGGGATGCCAGCGAGCTGCCATATGCCATGGCCAGATTGGACATGGGCTCTGACAGGAGGGTCTGACCAGGAAATCCTGCAGTTTGAGGGCCGGCCTGCTGGTTCCTGCCAATGTGACACAAGACAGGGGATCAGCTCGGTGAACATGATGATCTAATCAGCAAAAGCAATATTTACAACACATGCAAGCAGAAGACAAAAGACATGAGCTCGATCAAGTAAAACATGAGGTGTGGAATGTTGTCGCCCCCTTCTGGCACTGAGTGTATTTGTAAAAACACAGTCAAAGGCTTCTTCTTGAGAAGGAAAAAACAGCTTCATCCTCATTGGCAGGAGTCCCACCTGTATCCTGCCTGTGGTCCAGGCCCAGCTCTGCTCGTATCCTCAAACAGCTGACTGCCATCTGGACTGTCCCCTGGACTATTCCTTAGACGCATACTGGGCTCTGTGTAAAAAGACAGAGTTTGGAGAAGGAGAAAACACTCATGATGGATATCCTTAAGGGTAATCAATCTGTCCAGTTAGAAAACATGAACTATTGTGAACCCATTTCACCTGTTTTGGTGAATACAGGTGCAGTGGAGAGACATCGATAAGAGAGCCCCTAAAAAAAGGGGTTTTAAAGAAAATTCTGCATTTAACTGGGGCCAGTGAAGTGACTTCAGTGCAGGGGTAATATGCTCAAATTTCAATATTAGTGTAAAGACACTGGTTGCTGTAATTGGGCCAAAATGAATCCGTCTTTCTGATGATTTGGATAATCTTGTAAATAAAGCGTTACAGATGCATGGACTAATTTCTCAGAGCCAGTTTGAGATCTGGATTTTCTAACTTTTACTATTCGTTAAGTGGTAGAAAAATTATTTAACTGTTCTCAGAAGGGAATTTTAATTATGAGAAAAAAATCTGTCTCTAAGTTTTTGGACTCACAAACAAATATTTCCATCCCGTTTCAGTTCAGTTCTTAAAAGTTTCGAGACATCCAGCAATTATGAAGAGGTGTTAGATCAGAGGAAAAAGACAGGTATAACTTTGTATCATCTGCATAACAACAGTAAAGTATATTATTATTATTATTATTATTATTATGTATGATAGCAACAACTGGGATCGTGTAAAAGTTAACAAGTAATTGACTAAGAACACCCAAAGTTTTTAGACCACAGTGTGCTGTTGAAGATGCTGGTCTGAATTAGCTATAAAGAGAACTGTTAAGGAAAGTACACGTCTATTTACACAAAATAAATTCATAGTATGAAATCTCAGTACAGAAGACAGTCTTTTAAGTCATTTCCCTGAAGTATTATTCATATAATCAGACACTTATCACAAGACCTGATTACTGCATCCTCAGGCGCCTACTGCTTGTTTAGACCTTGTTTTCCTCTCCCGTGTAAAGAGCAGCACACGGAAAAGAGAAGTCTTAAGAATGAAATAAAGAAGCTAAAAAAGTGAAATAAATATGTAAATATTACAAAACTGTTCTACTTTAAGCAAGAAAGCAAGCTTCTTCAAGAGGGCCCCCTCTGCAGTGGCTTGACACATTTTTTAAAAGCACAAAAATAACACTGTACATTCATTACTAATCATTAAACTGATCAGAGTTCAAATAAGCACTGTTTACTGCAAGCTCTGGCTCCTAAACAAAGCTCAGCATAGAGGGAGCAAAAAAAGACTCCGAATAAGTAACGTCATCAGAGGGGACCGTTAGCCAGCCCAGCCCGTGCAACGGGAGACGAATTAGCTAGTTAGCAGTGTCAACACATATTGTCGGCGCCTATTATATAATTAAAGCTCTTTAATTAAAGTTGAAAGTTAAGCTTAAATTCACCGTTTAACTGTTTAACGTCAGCAGGTAGTCTCAACCGGCTGATAAGAGCGAGCTAACAGTAGCCAGCATCAAATGTGTGCATGCACCCGGCAAACGTATGAACTGAGCTAATGAGAAAATTACGTACGTAACTTACGCTGTCTGAACCCACTTTGAGTTGCAGTATAATCCATTTTAGAACAAGCAGGCGGTAGCGGCAGCTGTCAAACAAGCGACACTACTCGAAGTTGGTACTAGTTAGCGAGCTACACTGGGGAAGCTGTGGTCATTCATGAAATTTTACACGGAAGTGAATACGCTCTTCTTCTTCTTCTCTTGTAAATGTAACGATGAACGGACATGAGAGGTGAACACCGCCGTCTGCTGTGTCGAGGTTTCTTCACGTCTATGCCCACGATAACGTTTCATTAATCATGGGCGACTGTGACTGTGTTAATAACCTTCTACACATAATAGCACATATTTATCCAGTATGTTTATTTTAACAGTTTTAACAGTGAGTAACAGATAATTATTTTGACCATAGTCTTATGAAGTAATTATTTTATACATTTTTATTGTGTAGTTTTCTAAAAAAAAATACACAATGTTCTTGTCCTGTAAGCTATGGAAATGTATTAGTAATCTGTACAGAAACAGACACCCCTTATTACACGCGCACCTCATGGTTATTTTTATGGGTTGATAAAATTCGGTTCATATAACAGGGCTGATCTTTAATAGTAACTGGTGATTGTTTTATGATCTAGTATGGATAATAAGGATACGACATAAAATATAATATCAGTAGGAGTAATGTTATGAAAACTGACACATTCAGATTTCTTCCTGTCTGGAATTACCTCAAGGCGTGCAATTAGATTAAACACTTAGGCTATTACATAACCAGTTACTGGACAATGGGGGCATTTATAGACAGAGCTGGAAGTTATATTAAGCTAATAAGTTGGCTCATTAATTTAGTATGTGTAGTGAATGTGATGACCTCTCTCTTCTGAGCCGTTTGAACTTCCCTGCATACTGCCCATCTGTAATGTTGCTATAGAAAAGACAGAATGCAGAGACTCACAGTGGTATATAATAACAGTATGATTCTCCTCTGAAAGCACCAGGAGGCTACAGAGTTACCAAGATGTTTGTGTATTTTGGTGCCTGAACATTTACACACATCTAGTTTGCAAACCAACTAAAGTTCACTCCATTAACTAACAACAACAAAACATCAGTGATTTTTTTAAACTCTGTGACTCTGGACATTACAGTGCTTATCAGACTGTCAGTCAGCTTCATTGAACTGGAAAAACTTACTGTACATTACCGTAGCAATTACTGCTTACATCAAAATTGTCTGTAGAAAACCTTAGACACATATCTGACTATAATCAGTCATTTGTCATGTTGTAATTGGTCACACTGATCTAAAAATACCTATCCACGTTGGGATCTTGGAGATTATGTAAAGGTGATGATATGTATTTAAGTGAAAGTGAGACTGAAATGAATTTAATAAGACTCTAAAACTGTACTAAATGTATCTTAAAGTGACTTTTTAAAAATGGACTAGTACTTAAAAAAACATTTTCTACTCAATTATTCACACAAGTACACTCTGAACCAACGTTTACTTTTTTTGTTGCTTTTCTGTGTTCTGACTTACTGTAAAATAGACAAGCCTTGGAATGTGATCACACTTGACTGCTTGGCTGCCCATGAACCATCACCCGTAATGCCTTGTTTTTGAGTGGCACGACAGGAAAGTGTGACAGAGTATTAGGGCCACATTAAAAAAAAAATATATATTATTGATTATTTTGAGAATAAACATGAAATTTTGATATAAAAGTTGCTGTTTCAAGACAAACTGCTACAGTTGCAACACCATCTGAGTTAGTGAAAGCAAGCGAAGAAGCATGCATGAAGTCATTTAAATCCACACCATTTAGTAACTCGTTGTTTTGACTGAAGACTAGATGGTTAAAAATAATGAGAATCTGGGGCTGTGAGCCTAGTCAGAGATGTGCCACTGACTTCCAAATATTAAGCAAGAAAATCAAACAAGATGTATAAAAGTGTGAATTTCGTGTTACTATTGCTGGCTTTATAAATAACTCATGAAGTTAAGTTGAAACCAAGCACACCATTGTTTTTCTTGTGACATTACCAATAAGTTTGATGTGTCACATGGCCCTCTTCTTATTGAAAAAACAAAGTTGTATCCAAGCTGGCCGACTTCTAAATGGCCACCATGGTCACCACCCATCTTGAGGAGTTTGCCCCCTCACATATACTAATATGCCGCAAACAGGACTTTAATATCACCAACCATTCCCATGTTATTACGGTGTATCCATATAAATGGCCCACCCTGTATACATGGTACACATACACACACGCCTACATATAGCTATATGCTTGACTTTTCCGGCATGGCTCGGATTTGTTATATAACTAATAAGTACCACAATAACTTTCAAGTTTTGCGATTGTTTTTCGCAGATTTCTGAAATATTTGTGCAACCTGAGTCTGTGAACAAGTTTATTTTAGCTAGTTTCAGATTTTAGTTTTGGTTTTATGACCTGTTATTAAATATTTTAGCTCTAGTGTGTGTAGCTTGTTCTCATATGTACATAATATCCTATCTGCCCAACACCGTATGAGATTTCATCAGCTGTATCAGTAATTTTATGGGTGTTTTTGTACACACCTCTTCTCGCTTGATCGACACTTGATGGACATGTCACTATGCATTATCACAAAAGATGACTTTCCTTTTTTTCCTTTCCTAGAACACCCAGCTATGTCTGACTGGAATAATACTTTTTCGTGGGCTGATCAGTGCTTTCTTTTACGTTACATACATCATTCAGCAAATGTGTTCTTCAGAATGTTTGACGACAAAAGAAAAATCTGTCTTTTATTCACTTTTATTCAGATAAATACAATTAGTTTAAAAGCATTTGGGGAGTTTCCAGACACAGCATTGGAGATGATTTACATAAAATAGCTTGGCCTTTACAGGAATCAAGAACAGCCAACACCCAGCCCCCAGAATGCGTTCCGTGGCTGCTTACACGACAGTGAACAAAAGATGCAGGGGTCACACCATTCAGAGACTGTGCAGCGACTCTACTGCCCCCAAGTGGCAAAGAAAATAAATAAATAAATAAATCAAGTGACGCACATTTAATGCATCACCCTTAAAGCGCTAATTTCCCTCATTTTGTGTAGTCTATGAAAAACGATTATGCACGTATTAAAAAGATTAAAAGAAATGTAAAGAACTTACTCTCTATATTAGGGGTTTCACAGTGTTTATTATATATATAGCACTTTTAATTCATTCATTCATCCATTCACACAACAGCCTTATTAAAAAAAACAATATGTGAAAAAAATTGTGGCTATGATGTCTTTTTTATTGTATTTGTTAAAGTTGTGTTTTACAGTGATTGGACGTGGAAGTGTGATAAAGAAATGTACCCAGTAAAACCACATTTCTTCCTGTGGGTTTTAACTGATAAACATGATGTGAGCACACAAACTAATTTTGGCAGCGAACTGATTCAATCTGTGGATCTGCTTCCTCTCTCTCGAATCGTACACATTTCACTTGTCACTCTTTTGTTTAAGTTGACTTTGTGTCTCACTCTCTCCACTGACAGCTGGAGTCACCAGCCCTCAGGCACCGTGACAAACTCTGTACTGCACAACGAAGCTCTGAAACAGCCCGGCCTACACATGGACATGCAGGGCACATAAATGTGGAGTAATTTTCTCACGCTAAATTATGACACACACACACACACACACACACACACACACACACACACACACACACACACACACACACACACACGGGTTAGAGCAGGGACTATTTTGTCATGCATTTGAAAATCACTGCAAAGGGCACAAAGTACTATAGAGGTCTACAGTCATTAGAGGCAATTTGTATCATCATCAAAAAGTATCTCTTTGTACGGCATACAGAGTCCCAGGTAGTGTAATTATTGTTGTTGCACTCTGGTACATTTGGATGTGAAAACATTATTGCTGAAATAATCATGGGGTATATAAAGCAGGAAACAATTAGCTGTTTCTGGATGGTCATCAGTACTTAGTGTTTGAAAATAAGAACTGAATAACAGGAAAGTTATTGCATTTTGTTTTTCAGAAATTTTTAATGATAGATTTACAGTTTTTTACAGACGCTAGGACACATTTCTCAATACTTAGGTCACGTTTGCAAAACTCCTCACATAGTGAGCACAACAGAAGTCTATGTGGGCTAAACTGAGGACCAGTTATCATTGTTTTGGCACAAAATGCATCCAATGACTACATCTCTCAAATTTCATGAATCATCTTCTCACTCAGACACAACAACTGCCAAAAACCTTTGTACGTACAGGACATTTTGCATGTGCTTACATACTGTTTTCAAAACTGTTAAACTTATGGCCAAAACAATAACTAGAGATGGACCGATCCGATATTACGTATCGGTATCGGTCCGATACTGACCTAAATTACTGGATCGGATATCGGAGAAAAATAAAAAATGTAATCCGATCCATTAAATATCACGAAAGCACCTCACAAAACTTGCAACACACCGTAACTCACCTCAGAACGTTAGCACGTCAGAGCAGTATGCATCACGTGATAGAGCGGCTGTGGCATGCGGGACCTGTTGGTGGTCTGGATAGCATTTGGAGCTTCGCTAGCAACCCGGCATTTCATCTCCGACAAAGTTATCCCCGAGAGAAGTAAAGCAAGTGTGTAAGTCCATCTCTGAATGTTTGTAAAGCATTCCTGCGTTAAGCTTCACAAATGACTGCCTCTCGCTCTCCGGCTGCTACTTCAATCATGAAACTGCTTAACGATCAGCTGATCGGCTTTTCTGTCGCGAGTCCGTGTCTCTAGTTTGCTTTTGGCCCACTTTGCACCAGAATGAGGAAACCAGCGGATAAACAACAGCAGCACGTTTAAGCTTGATCAGCTGTTGTTAGAATTTATTTAATATTACTTTCTACTCCAGGATCTTTTTCTACGTAGCTGACGCTGGTAACTGTGCAGGGGCGGATCTAGCAAAGTTTAGCCAGGGGGGCCGATAGGGCATTAACAGGGAAAAGGGGGCACAAAGACATACTTTTCTTTCTTATTCTCATTTAAAATGTCGAGCTTTTAATAAATAATTATCTGACACCCAAAGTTTTAATTTGATGTAAAATGAATAGAAGTCAATTACTGTATATAGTAACTATTAAGTCTAATATATATACCCTAGTAAGCTATAGTACTTTTTCCTTTGGGAAGGTACCATCTGTGCAGTCTGCAATTTTGTTGAAGAAA